AGTTAAAACCAGAGAAATTCAAATTAGAAATAAGATGCATGTTTTAAACAATGAGGCTGATAAATTATTGGAAGAACCTACCAAGGGAACTGGTGGATTCTCCATCTCTTTATGTCTTCTGATCAAGACTGGATGCAAACACAAGTATTAGGACTCTATGCAGGTGAAACTATGTGAAATTCTATAGCCTGTGTTATACAGGAATGCAAATGATGATTTAATTGTCCCTTCTAGCCTTGAAATCTGTGAATACATTAATCAAACTTCTGGTTAAGCATCTACAAGTCCATAAACTTTTTCCAAGCTCTTTGGTCTGGGGTTGTTATGAAAACAGAAATTCTAATTTCAGTTAAGTTGGACAATAAGTATAGCATTTTCTCTCAGTTATTTTGATATTTCAGGTCTCTGGAAGTCACTTAAGTGCATAGGTAGGTGACAATTATAGATACACGGAAAATATTAATCAAGATTTCTCCACTTCTTCCCTGAACCTCAGGAAATATTTCGGAGGGATTGCGTTATTTTGGAGTGAAGTTTCAGGTCTTGTACATTATCAGAACCAGTCTGACCTATAACCTAATCAAATATATATTTAGCTAAAATGAAGCTGTGTGGTCAGAAGTGACAAAGTCTGATGGCTGTTTAGTTGCCTGTGTGAAATGAGGTGGTGATCACTCAGTCACATTCCTGCTGCACAGGTGCCCACGTCACAAAAGTTGCCATACATTTGGGGCACTAACTGACCCTTGGCAGTTTCACCAGGCAAGCTAAGGACTAAATGAGCCCTGTGAACAAACACCTCTATAACCCTTAGAAGTGGTCCTGGTGGTCTTGTGACACTTCCCCTTGGCAGATGATGACCCACTAAGTAGCCAGAAGAACACATGGTACTGGCAAGAGGACTAGGGAAAGCAGATATTCTTTCCTATTTCAAGAAACATTGTTTCACTTGCAGATGACACTTAGAAGGAGAAACAGCTAGGCTGCTTCTACTCTGCCTTCTCTTTATTGACTCTGATGATTTGCAGTGCATTTTTTTTAAATAAATAAAAACATAACTGTAAATAATATGTAAGTGGGGGATCGGTCCTACTATTGTGAGGAACTTTCCTGGCTTATACATTACCTCAGTGGCATTGGCTAGTGAAAGGCTGAGTCCTCGTTCCCACTCCCTTTACCCAGAGGCCCGCCTGAGCTTGAGGACTCCCCTGCCACTCTCCTGTGTGGCAGAGTCCTTGTAACCGCAATAAGGTTGGGCCCAGGATTCCTGGGGGGCTTAACCCCCAATCTTGTCATAGTCACTTAGGACAGGGGCTAGGGTGTCCCCACTCCAGGGTGCTCTCTCTCCGCTGGATGCTTTCCTGACCCACTGATCATTACATATAGTTCAAGCAAATACAATGTATTAAACAGAAATCAATTTTAAAAATAAGGAAAAATGGGCAAGGTTAAAGGAAAACACATAACCTCGCTCTGTGGCACAGGGACATCACAAACAGCAGTCTCTAGAATATAAGGGAAGTTCACAGTCTGTTCCTCACATGTGCCAGGCCTCCTGGCCAGGCGCTGGCTGTGCTGCAGGGATGCTATGGGTCAGACACTTGCTCTGGCGGTGACCACATGCCCTCAGGCTCTAAATGGCAGGCCCTTTCTTCCCAGCATCGCCCCTCCCCCATGCCTTCGGAGTTATGATCCCCCTCCAAGTCTGGCCTGTCTCCAGCTCCCTGGGCTGCTTTTCTGGCCCCTCTGGTTCTGGTTGCTGCAGCTCTCCTCCCAGCACAGGTTAGGGTTGCCAGGCATCCGGTTTTGGATCGGAACGCCCGGTCGAAAAGGGACCCTGGTGGCTCCAGTCGGCGGTGTTAAAAGTCCAGTAGGCAGCGCAGTGGAGGCCTAGGGCTAAGGGAGGCTCCCTGCCTGCCCTAGCTCCACACAGCTCTCAGAAGTGGCTGCCAGGTCCCTGCAGCCCCTAGACCAGTTGTTCTCACACTTTTTTTTCCGCAGACCACTTGAAAATTGCTTAGAGTCTCGGCAGATCACTTAATGATCTTTCCAAATGTTGTTTGTACTGTTAGCTAACTATTGAAAAGGACTTTGGATAAAAACGCTATATAAAAATAACCTTAATAATAATAAACATTTTTTGTTCTACAAATAAAAGCACACAACTCATATTTTAATATCAATAGTCTTACCTTTCTAATGCGATGGATGTGCCCTCTCTCCTCGACTGCAACAGCCCCCGAGCTGAGGCTGGGAAGGAGGGGGCTCTCTCCACAGCAGCCGTAGCCCTAGAGCTGGGAAAAGTTATCTCTTTCTCTGCACCACAGCCCTGCACGTCCCAAATTCCCCCCACACCCTCTTCTAACCCCACTGCCCCCTCCCACCTACTCCCTATTTCCCCAAGACCACCACCTCACCTTACATGTGCATCTTCTCCATGGTCCAGGCACCTAATTAGTGGAGCCACGCCTGCGCGGCTCCACTAATTAGGTAGGTGGCCCTTCATTCTCTCGTGTGCAGCCGCCCAGGCGCGCACCTTAGAACTATCTGCCAACCACAGTTTGAGAACCTCTGCCCTAGACACATGGGCGGCCAGGGAGGCTCCGTGGTGCACTGCCCCCGCCCCAAGGACGGGCTCCACAGCTCCCATTGGCTGGGAACCACAACCATTGGAAGCTGCGGGGGTGGCACCTGTGGCTGCAGAGCCTGCCCCCGCACCCCAGCGACCAGGGGCCCCACGGGACGGAGGCCCCGATCACGC